GGAATGCCGGCAAACTGGGTCTGCTGTCATAAAAATACAAGCAAGTGCTTCTAGACAGTACTGCCTGCATAAAATGTCAGAAGCACAAATTATTGCCGAGTAAGTAAGCCTCCCCTCCTCCTTTTCCAAAAGCTAATACAAGTTTCCTGCAGCACAGATCCAGTTAGAGCCCTCTATGTTTGTCAGTGTAAATACAATCATTAGTTCAGCAGAGAGGTGAAACACAACATCATTCTCCTTCTCTCCAGACTTCTCTTCCGAAAGTACTTGTATTGAATGGCAAAATAAAGGGTGGATTATGAATCCTGTTCTGTAGTCCACCGCTTATGTTGAAGAAAGCGGTGTCATAACCTTTTTATGATTGTTTAGGTATAGAAAACCTGTGAAAAATGACAAGCCAATTACAGGTTGAAAACTAAGAAAAAATGTGTAATGTTTTCCTAAAAGTTTGAATTCTCCCTGTGCTTCAGTTTTAAGTGGCCCTTTGAGTATTCCTGAGCTGCTCCAGTATAGCTGTTATTTCTTTGCCTGTAAATGATTTGAACTCTTCCCTTCTCTCTTGCCTGCTCTCCCAGTATACGTTTTCCTTTCCAAGGTAGCAAACGTTTTCGTTCTTTTTTTTCTTTTTGCAGAGAAATTGAGCTGTGAGGCTGCTTAGGGAGAAGTGAGTTTTTAGCAAGAGAGGCTGATCTGAAGCTGTGTTCAGTCAGGCAATATCACGTTTCAGAACAAAAAAAAGAATTAAGTCAGCAAGGTCTGCCAGATTCACTGTTTGGGACTCAGATTAACTGTGCTATGTAAACATGAGTAAATTCAAGTACATCTCTTTCCTATTTCAGGTTACCCATGAATCTTTTTGTTCACCCACCAAAAGCTTATATACATATATGAGCTACAATGAGTTTGGAGTGGGGAGTATTTTGCCATGTGAACTTTGATTGTGGTAGAAGTCAACAGGAGGCTGACGATAGTCTTAAACAGAGGTCTTAAAACATATTTATCTTTGCTGTATGCAGTCCCATTCAGAAATAAATGTATGGCCTTATACATCACAAAGGAGGAGGTAGTCTTACTGAAAACCAAGCAATTCATTAATGCAGAGCAAAGTCTCCATGTACGGCTTCGGCACCTTCCTTCTTGAATTAATTCCCATGACCCCTCCTGGAAAACATTCTAATTGCTATAATTATCTCTCTTTTCCTAATTAAAAACTTAATACATGCTAATAAAACCATTTCTCCCATTTACCCTCTTGAAAATATATTACCGTCACAGAATAATAGTATGTCCCCATCCTCGTTCAGATTTCTCTTAGTTACCTTTCTATGTGAGAGAAGAAATTCTGTATAATCTCACAAATACATTTGTGAACAGCTTTGTAGTCCTTTATGATGAAATGCATTGTTACTTTGCATTTGTTACTTTGAAATAACTACATGAAACAGCTTACTGGTAAACGTATTGTAAGGCATAGTCTAGATCTGGCAGGGATACTAGCTGGATGATGTAGTGAGTCTGCTTTTTGATTTTTGATTTCCATTCAATCCGTGACTCAATATGATTAATATGCTTTAATAATCAGCAGTAAAGATTGTGTCACTACAAAACTGTACCTGAATTATTGCCCACTTTGGAGCTGTGAACATACTGAGAACCGAAGAGCGAGCTCAGGAGAGTTTGACACTCCCCCTTCATTTCTTACTTAGTTGAAATGAATCAGACTACTTGTGGAGAGAAGGCAAGATTGCTATCATACTGATATTCCTTTCCTGGACATCCTGCTTTCAGTTAATTACCTGTCATTGCAGCATGTGCTTAGTGACCCACCTTTGAACTAAGAATGGGAACAGGAACTAACAAAGCTAACTAACTCTTGGGGGAAGGTCTAAGTCATGCTCCGCATAGGAGCGTGACTTACTGAGAGTGAGTTAAATGAAAGTAAATATACCCAACTTAGAATGGATTAATGTGTCTGGGAGAGAATAAAAGCATGTCCCATGGGTGAGGAAGTGAACACAGACCTAGAAATCTGAGGGTTGAACAAGTCCAAAAGGGGGAGGGAAGAGAAGGAAGAGAAGGAATGTATGGGAATGTGAATAAACTGTGGAAAAGAACAGAAGGGTTTCATTATTTCTAATTTGAGAGGCAAATCTGCATCTCCACCATTGTTTTTCCACTCTCACTTACTGTTATTTCAAATTGTAATGCTTTACTTCCCTGTTAATTTATTTGTATTTGTCAGATTTGGAAACCAAGACTCTGCAAGGTGTGAAGAGTGAAAACAGCCTGAGCTCCACAGGCTCCTTCCTCATGGACAATTCTAGCATTGACTTCCAGAAGTTTCCTGACAAGGAGATACTGAGAATATCTGGGCCTCTCACTGCGGACTTCACTGTCAAGGTGAGGGCATTGATCAAGTACACTTCTTGTAGCAAAATAAAAAAGGAGACAAGGTCAATGCATTAGAAATGAGAGACACATTTTTTAAGAGTTTAATTCCCCATTAGACAGTTACCACAGAGCCTTGTCCAGGCTAGTACTTGAACTCCGCATGAAATTCTTCATAAACAAGTATCTTCATTGGACACTCCTTGGAAAAGAGACTGAGTTTATGTCAGGGAAGGAATATCCAATGTGGGCCCTAAAGAGAAAAGATGAACTCATTACAAGAAAAGGCAGGTTACTTTCTGTAGATGCTGTCTGAAGTAGGTATAAATCAAAGGCCATGCAGTTTGTTTAGTTTGTGACAAGCAAAAAGAAAGAGTCTGTCCTTTCACTCTGTAATTTGTGGGATTTTTACTAGTGTAACTGCACAAAAGACTGAAATGGAGTGGAGAGTGAGGTCCCCAAGCTTCAAAATAAGTGGGATGGCTTTGCTTGAGAAATCGTGGTATCATTTTGAAGTTCTGCTTTGTGTTGCACTGGCAACAAGTATCAAATTGTTTCCTCCCGTTAGAGTATTTCTATTCTTCCAGGTAATATAAAACACATTGCTGGAAGCAATACACACATTCTATAGGAAAACACACATACAAAAATGAACGTTTGGGAATTACAGTAAAATAAATCCTTTTTCAGTAGGGTCAAGGAACTCGAAAGATTTCAGTTGTGAAATTGTAAAACCTATATCATGTCCAGGGCTACATAAGTTTTTCACCATAAAGACAGAGGCCCTAGAGACAGAGTACATTTAATTTAACCTAGAGCTAATGGCAGCTAGAAGTTTGAATGGTAAACTGGAAAACACAGTTGGTGATTGGATTGAGTTGGGTTGGACTAGGTGAGATGGATTTGGAGCAGTGCCCTGTAGACTCTCCGCTGCCCTAGCAGTATGTTAGCAACTTCTAATCCAAACCAGGCATATCAGCAAAAGTGCCTGGGGAACAGAGCCACAGGAAGGGAGATTAAATTATCAGGGCTGGTTCAGAAAGAGAAGTTTGACCTGAAGTTTGACCTGAACAAGTTCTTTTCTCTTTGCAGGTCAGAATGACTATATCCCAAAAAAGATACATGCTGGTCAGTTCAAAATGACTGGAACACTCTGTAAAATCTTTGTTTGTATTACAGATGACATCCAGTTAATGAAAATCAGAATGACTTAAATATTATGGCTCACTTTGCATTTTTAATGCTGGTTATGGATTTAAGTCAGCTTGGTTAATTCAGACATACCAGCTAGGGGCAGATAGTCAAGTAGACCAATGGATAAGCTCTGAAGTGGATATCGGGAGGGCTGAATGTGTTCCTGGTTTTGCTATGATGGAAAAAACACCTTTACCTCTTTGTGCTTGCATTTCCCTCTGTGTCAAAGCAGGTGAGATGTTCTGGTTAAACTACAGTACTGTACTTGTATGCTATATGGACAGTATGAGTGCACAAGCTGGAGGCAGAATCAGCACTGCCTTTCCATCAGTCGTGACTGCTGGTACACAGATGTAGTTGGGAGAACATGATGTCATTGAGAAGTCTACCCCTCAGTCAAACATGGTTGGAATAAAACAATGCTTGAAAGTAATTAGGGTGAGTTTGCAGACTGGCTGGTTTCATACCTCTTGTTTCCGTAGGAAACCGGGCTAAAAAAGCAGAAAATTCCCTTGTCTCGTACAGAAAAATTTATGATGAGCTTTAATATATTCCTGTTTAGGCCACACACTCCTGAAGGGAGACAAAGTTTGAAGCATAAATTACATGCTAGCTAGGTACAAATGAGCAGGTTACTCACTGAAAGACAAGTTTTAAATCTATGAAAAATTCCATCCAAGTTCACCTAGGAATAAAATTGCTGCTTTCTAGTAGAGATTGAACTATTCCAATAGTTCTGCCATGTGTTTGCACCTTTGGAAAGTCAGGACAGCATGACTCAATAGGTGTTAATTTATCCACATATCCATGATCTAAGCTAAAATACGAAAAATGCACAGACAATCCCTCACCCCCATTGAAATTTATAGGGTCTTTTCTAAGGATATCCTTAGGATTTGCCTTGTATCAGGCCCTAAAAATTCCTTTTATTTGAATCATTTTTTTTTTGATAGCAAAAATAGAAGATACTTTAGCTGTTGCTTGGTATAGCAATGACATTCTTCCAGACTATGTAATTACTCATTTAACAAACTTTTTTAGTATCTGGATTTTTCATTTGTTATACTTTGTTAGATACAGGAGTGTACACACGAGGAGAGCTATGACAGGAGTACCCAAATGCAGGCTTACTTCTCAGGCATGTCAGACCTGACAACTGCTTTTCTTACTTACTACAGCCATGACTATTTTACCTTCAGTTTATGAAGCTAATACACTTTTCTGAAAAGCAGATGAAAGGCTTTGCTGTGGTGGTAGCAAGATTTCCTTAGAAAGCGGGGTCTCTTTTGGGTGTCCAGATTTGCCTTCCTGGAAAAAAAGCAAATCTAAAGCAAACTCATCTGAATGAATTTGTAAATATAACGTAATTCCAGTTACTGGATGATTGTCTCCGGAATTGCTGCTAGAGTCCTTTTCAGTTGACTGTGAATGGTTTCATTCAGTAAAGTCAAGTTAAATGACTTGATAGAATCACTGGCTGAAAAGTTACTGATCAGAAGTAAAAAGTCAATGGGGAGTTGATGTTTGAGTTTATTTATTGGTGATATGGAATGCTTTAAATTGCAAGAAGCAACTTCATGCTGTTTCTGCAAGAGCTGAATTGTATAATTGTTAATGTTTCTTTTACTTCATACCAGTGAGTGGTAGGTTCACAGTGTGCATGCCTATTTTATTTAGCAATACATTTGGCAATCTTTTCACAAGGCATATAAATGGTAAAAACAATTCAGTAAAGTACAGGCACTGTTTTTGAAAAATCAAGGTCTTGGCACAGAATAGGAGAAAAACCGGATTTTTCCATGTTCTATTTTTTATATTCATAATTTGAGAGCTAGAAATCTCCTGTATAAATTATTAATGTCCTTAGTGCAGAAGGGCAGAAAAAGACCCAGCAATGCTTAAATTCCATTGGAATCTTACTACTAAAATTCTGAGGTTAAATAATCAATTCTGAAGCAGGAGCACACAGTGATTTACCTCCTGTATCACAGTAAGAAATGGCTTCTATGCTTGCTTTAGAGTAGAGGCCAAGAGGTGCGTATTTGCTCTAGCAGCAAGGACTTACTGCTTATGGCTGGCTTATTACTGGATTTTAAAGCTGTTTCTGTGTGAGAGCAAGGGGTCATGGCAGTAAGGGACTTCTGTGTAGGTTAGTTCTGATGCCGGCAAAGTTTTTCAGAAGTGGCTATGCCTGAGATTTGGGAGATGGTTACCGGTCAGATGGGAAGTGGCAAAGGGTCTAATCCTGCAAGTCCTGGTAGGCCAGGGCTAGGATGGTGCTCTTAGGAGTAGATGAGCTAGAATTAGGGCTGGGCTGGCAAAAGTAATTAGTAAGACTTGAAGTTTAATTGCGATTATGTCAAATTGGTGGCACTCAACACAATGACCTAAGCATTTTGCTGAATCTAGAGGAGACCAGTCAAATATCGTCCCTTGGCCATAAAACTATTACCTCTTGAGTCACGTGACTTGCTAAGGTCACTTCTATAGAGTGAAGCCTGGATCCAGCCAGGAGCACGTCTATGAAGTGGTCTTCACCAATGTTTGGTGGTTGTAGCATCAACCTACATTTGCATTTAATACTTTTTTTTGCAGTAATAGCCATTAAAATAACAAAAGGATACACTTCTGCAATATTTTCTACATCAAACCCACAATTAAAGGCCATTCTGAAAAGAGGCCTAATCTTTATTTAGCTTCACCAGATCTCTGCAGCAAGTTCAGAAAAATTATTTTCTGAAGAAAAAAGTCCTTCTCCTACTATTATGGCAAATTTGGCAAAAATTAGCATAAACAGTAGAAGGCATGTGGTATTCTTTTGAAAATGCTATACAAATTCTATTTCATATCCACCTTTTTTTTCTATTTAACATAAATTATTTGAATATTGTGTATTCCATCTGTAGCTACATTGCTGTACTAGGTCAAACAAATAGTGTGCTTCACCCAAGTTTCTGTTCCAAACTGACTATTTTTATTTCAAATGTACGCATATTTGTACTGTGTTTGCTCTTTGACTACACTTACGTTGTGGGACAAGTTCCACAGAGAATTGTGCATTCCATAAAAAAAGGAGTACTCATTTTTTAGCCTTCAGTGTAGTAATTCCACAGATTCCTTCTGGTTCTTCCACTATGAGAAATGGTAAATGATCACTGCTCATCCCCTTTCTCCATGAAGTTTATAATTTTAGAGACCTCTATCATACCATCTGTTGCCACTTTCCTAATCTGAAGAGTCCTATTGCATTTAATCTCTCCTTTCGTCAAAGTATGTCCATACAAGGGGTATCCTTATTTCCCTTCTCTGTACCTTTTCTAGTTCCGCTGTACATTTCTGAAAAGATAATATCTTATAATATAACTAAATACATAATATATAACTATTATGTTAGTATATCAATTTTATGTAAGTATATTTACATTAAATAAATATATGACTTAATAAAAAGTAGTTTAAAATTTATTTAATATGAACACAATCTATATTTTTGAGAATAAGTGACTAGAACTACACATGGTGTTCAGGAAACAAGTGTATTCTACTTGGTGGTATCATGGCCTGTTCTTTCTTCCTTCTCTGTGAATTCATAATGTTCTATTAATCTATTTCATTGCTGCTGCACGCTGAGCTGACATTTTCAGAGGAATGCCTGCAGCAATTCTTCATTTTTATTCCTGAATAGTAATAGCTAATATAGAGGCCATTTCGTATATAATTACCATGTATAATTCGGGTTGTTTTTTCCCATAGGCATTATTTCTTTTTTATTGAATTTGAATTTAGTCTGCAAAATCTTTGGGGAATTTTCATAGCCT